TTTTTTTTTTTTTTTTTTTTTTTTTTTTTTTTTAACCATCTCTGTTTCTTATCTTAGTTCATTGATGTTGCAGAATGGATATGGGGTGATGCAACCTCAGGCATTTCCTGCTGGCTACCAAGGAGAGTGGCAGGACTACCAGTATTCTGATCAACTGGCTTATTCTGAACAGTACCTTCAGCTCAACATGCAAGCGTATGATATGCAAACAGGAGCAAACATTGCACAGGATCCCCGTCTCATGACTCAAGAAGAGAAAGATAGGGGCTTAGGCTCCGTGTTCAAGAGAGACGATCAGCGACTACAACAACTGAGAGAGAGAGATGCACGAGAGAAGGATCCGAACTTTATATCGGAGAGTTATTCTGAATGTTACCCTGGATATCAAGAATATAACCGTGAAATTGTGGACAGTGATGACGAAGATGACTTATCAAAAATGGACATGGGAGGCCGGGTATTTCCTTATCACCATCGAGATCTTTCTTTGAAAACACATGGTTCTTTGAAGTTTGAATTTGATGATGTTCTCATATACGAAATCCTTTCTGATATCTGTCTTTGATACGAGTCCAAATCGGTTTAACGAACTGGGATTTTTAAGTATTGATTTTGAAGTTCATTGTTGTAGGCAAAGGGCCGACTTCATCGATGGGACTTCGAGACAGAGGAGGAGTGGGCGAAGTACAACGAGCAGAAGGAAGCCATGCCAAAGGCAGCGTTCCAGTTTGGTGTGAAGATGCAAGACGGTCGAAAGACTCGAAAACAAAACAAGGACCAGAAGATCAACAATGAACTTCACAAGATCAACAAGATACTGGCAAAAAAGAAAATGGAGAAGGAAATGAATGAAGATGATGATGATATACAACCTGGAAAGAAGATCAGAGTTTGAGCTGATTGGCAATAGATGGAAAGGTTTGTATTCTTTTTTTTTTTTCTTTTTAACTTTCCATCACTTCATAAAAACGTAAGATTTGCATAAAATGTGCTCTCATTTATAGTTTTCTGTATTCAATGGGGAATTTTGTCATATTAGTTTAGAGTTTATGTATTAAATAACATTTAGAATCCAAGAAAGGTCGTCACCCCTTGCTTATTTTCAATGGAGGTAGTAATACTATTAGTTTATCGGGTTGTCATTAGCCTTTCATTTCAATTCAACGGGGATGTAAACTCTCATCTTACGAATAATATCTTTCAACTAAAAAAAATGTTAAAAAGATACTCTCGAACTTTCAAAGATCGTTTTTGATGTTATTTTTACAAAAATATTCTTACAGCATACGAACAAAAAAATTGTTTATCAATGTCTCATCACCTACCATTCTTTTGTTCTCTCTGCTTCAATTTATAGTCAAATACTTTCTTATTTTTCCTATTTTTTCCTTACTTTAATAATTTTTCTAACTAGTTGATTATCGAGGATTTTGACTCGAACAAACTTGTTAATGATATTGAATGGGATTGCGCTACGATTATAGCATCTTCAAACTCCATTGTTCAACTTTAATGGTAGTGTAAGTTTCAAAGGGCCAAGTGTCACCATCGCAATTTTAATGGCAACGGACATGCGATTGTGCGACACTCACTTCCCAGCAAAAAGTGAGTTAAGCCAATTTATTCTTGCGTCGCGTACGGCCAAGCAACGTATGCTCGAGCCTCTGGCTCCGGTTTAAGAAGAAAGTTTTAGAAAACGGGGGCAGAGAGATTTTGAAAGAAAAATTTGAGAGATTGAAATTTGTGTTATATGTAATGCAAGCAAAAAGGCAACAACAGCTTATAGCATATAACTATCGGGTAGGGAGAAGTTGACAACTAGTCATATTTCCCTATAGTACATTTTTGGGTATTTTAGTCCTTGTAGGTGTAGATATAATTTTGGTGAACGGTCATACACCTCATTACTGACTCAATATGAAATGTTAAAAACTTATTTAGGATGAAAGCATGTAAAAGGGTTTTGGAATAGGCATGCAACCATGGACAACACGTCCTGGACAAGCAAGACCGAGATATTTGTCATGCGGCCATTGACAACTCGCCTTACACATGCATGATCATGACACCAAGCACAAGCCTATATGAGCAAACAAATTTGGTTACATTTTCGTTTTATTAATTTATTTATTGTTATTTCTTATTGTTTTGTTTCTTATTTCCTCGATATTAAAATTTTTATTTATTAAATATTTAGAGTCTCTTACTCTTTCCTTTTTATCAAAGGAAATAAACAAAAATGTGTTCGATAATTTAGTAGTTATTCATTTTTTCCTCAAAATTTAAATTAAAAAATAATAATAAAACATACCCCAAAGTTAGTGTGAAAATAAGTTTCCTTTTTAAATCAAAATATTCAAAACTATCATATTATAGGTTAAAAACAATGGGTAAAACAGTTACATTATTGAATCCAAACAAAACGCACTTCAAATAATTAGACTTCTAGCTTCAAAAGAATAAATAACCATTTTTAAGCATTAAGCTAGGCTCATATTATTCTTAAAGTCATAATTTATTTATTTTACATTTCACAAAAACAAATAAAAAAAATTGATTAATCCTCAACGAGAAAAGGTCATATATTGAAAAAAAAAAAATCAGTAGACCCGAGCATGAAATTTAAAAATGACGAAATTAAAATCTAATTAATATTAATTAGAATATAAACTCAAATCAATCATAATTTAGTTGTAAAAAAAAAAACTCACCTTTAAGATCCAATAAGAGAGGCTACCTATCACAAATCTTCTCAATCAAAATTATACATAAAATTCTCGGTCTCGCACTATAACGTTAAAAACATAACTATATAGGGACAAAAGGAAAAAAAAAATGTATGGAAAATCATTTGACAAAGAAAAATAACAACAGATCAACCAATTTTAAGTCTTTATCTGAAAGCTTAAAGAGTTGGCTTAATAAACACAGAATGGAACTGGTCAGAAACAAATATGGGGAGGGATGAGCTTTCCTGGATTCATAATATTGTTTGGATCCAACGCTGCCTTTATTCGTTTCATCGTCCTCAATGCCTCTGCTCCAAGTTCTTTTTCCAGGTACTATATATTTAGAAGAAACGAAAACTCATTTCTAACTCTATCTATGTGCATGTGTCTCTTTATGTAAACATGAGCATGTCCAAGTTCTTTATGTAAGTATTTTTTAAGATTGAAAATACTCTATCTGCTAATTATGTTTTAGAAGTTTAGCTAACTACGATTTTAAGATTTAAAGAAACTAAGTAAACCAAAATGAATATCGACTGAATTGGTAATCTGTATCCCAAATCTCTTAATACCAAAAAATTGTTTGTTTGGTGAAACTATACACTCATTTATGTAGGTATTGCTATTTTGACCTCTCATGCTTGCCGATGCTTTCATGTCAAGTTAAATCGAAATAATTTGCAACTAAAGGCTTACGAGTTAAAGAAATACCTTCATTTTCCCCGTTCCAACCCCATGTTCACCGGTGCATGTTCCTGCTCATTAATAGCCAAAGAACCCATCTTTAGACATGATTTAAAATTTGTTTTAAATTTTGGAAAAAAATTTTAGCAAGCTATTGAGATAACTAGAAGGAAAATCTGATAACATATGTGGTTTGGTTTGATTAGAGTTTTAGCCAAAACTGACACAAAACCAATCTACATATGCAAATAGAAACCAACCTTTAATAAAATGAGGGTGACGAATCAAAACTGATGGAAAATGAGCAAAATCCCAATCAACTATTTTTTTTTTATTGTGAAGTTATAAAATTGAATTGACCAACATGTTCAAACAGGGTCGGTTTGGTAGGTGTTGTTTTATGGTTTCGGCTTGCATCCCTAGATAACCTGGATGTTGTAACAGCTCAGGAGTTTTTAAGGGAAATTTGGATCTTCACTAGGTTTGATGTTGTAACAGCCCAAGCCCACGGCTAGCAGATATTGTCCTCTTTGGACTCTCTTTCGAGCTTCCAAGTTTTAAAACGCATCAATAAGGACGCTAAACTCCAATGGGGGTGGACACCAGCAGTGTGCGGCCCTAAAGGGGGTAGATTGTGAGATCGCACATTGATTAGAGAGAAAAAACGAGTGGCAGCGAGGACGCTGGGTCTTTAAGAGGGTGGATTGTGAGATCTCAAATCGGTTGGAGAGGGGAACAAAGCATTCTTTATAAGGGTATGGAAACCTCTCCCTAGCAAACGCGTTTTAAAAACCTTGAGGGGAAGCCCGAAAGGAAAAATGCAAAGAGGACAATATCTATTAGCGGTGGGCTTGGGCTGCAACAAATGTTGACGGTTAGATATAGAGTTTCTTTTTTAGTTCAAGAATTTGTGGAGTGAGAAATTTGAAACTCTAACCTCTTGATCGAGAGTACCTACTTTATGAGAATTAAGCTATGTTCTTGTTCTTGTTGATGTAACCAAGAACTTTTTCCTTTTAGAGATAAAAACAACAATGAAACTACCAAGTAATAGAAGTAATAGAAGCAAGTTAATTAGGAATATTGGAGCACAAGCAAAACTTATTCATTCAGTGAAGATGGAAAAAGGGAAGAAGACAGTACCTTCCATTGACAATGCTTTATAAACCATTAAATGATTGAGTCGCTCAGCTTCTTTCCGTTGTTCTTCTTTGTTTGGATCAAACAGAATGACCGTGTGGAAGTTCCCGTCACCAGCATGGGCAATGACCGTGCTGTAGTGAGCAATATATTTTCAGCCATTCAAATGAGTAGAAAATTATTTTCATAAATCATTTTTCCCACTTGCAAAAGTCGTTAAGTATTTGATTCAATTTTAATTATGCACCAAAAATTATGTAAGATTTGTTCTAAAATTTTAAAAAGTACTACACACACGAACCTTTGATATTAAAGTAAGAAATACATGTCAATTACTACTTAACTAAACTCATTTTGAGGTTTTTTTTAAGACCATCTTAATTGTTAGAAACTTAGATGAAATTTATTTACAAGTCATTATATAATAATATTACAAAATAAATAGTACTTGCACGCAGTAAGATACTAGTCAGTAGTCTCCAATGAAGGAGTGAAACGCCAGTTGACATAACCAAGAGAAGACATACCAAACTAGTGATGATGCATCCAGCGCTTGTTTAGAACTTGATATCAATTCTGCAAGGTGAGATAACGGAACACATACATCCTGTAATAGATAAACAAATGGTAAAATAGTTGCAGAAAAATAAAGAAAATAACTCCTAGGAGGCATCAAAAGGTGTGAAATGAAATGACGATATCTCAGAAAGAAGCAATTATAAACACCATGATTGAGGTCCCCTCATCTAAGGAATTTCGTTGCATATTTATTTAACTCCATATCCCTCGGATCTGAGATACATGGAAGTATAGCTATTCTAAACTATTAATAAGCGAAAAGAGAGATTTTGGGATAAAAACTAGTATATAGGTTCTTGTAGGGTTTAGAGCACAAAATACAACTAAAAAAGCGTGAATTTTGAAAGTTGAGTAAATGCAATGGTATTCTATCTACAGACCGTGATCATTGCTTCAAAATTGGGTACTAACGCAAAGCATGCCCATAACGCCTCTTTCCTTATCTGCATGGAAATGACCATAATAAGAGTCAAATAGTGGTCGGCAGTAAAAGTAATTGATCGAATTTCTTACAGGAATCCCACATAAATCACCATGGGGGTGGATCGAATAACTGTACGAGAAACTTATATTAAATATTTGATCGCCCGTATAGAACTCATTCTTCCACTGCACAATAATCGTGAAAAGGTGCAGAAAGGGGAAAAATTGAAATTTTATTTTATGGTGGGCAGCTTGAGTAAAACAATAAACCATATGCAATTGGAATGAAAACCCTCGAGTCATTTTGGCCCCAAAAATTGAAGGGTCAGAAACCAAGAGTTTGAGAAGCCACTACAAGGATCCGTATGAAAAATAACTAAAAAATTAGAAATGTTTTTGGGCCAAAATCATGCAAACCTAAACAAGAATGAGGTCTCTATAGGTTGTAATCCGTACCTTCCAAAGTTCTTTTTTGGCTTCTGGATCTTCAGCAAAGACAAAATCTGAGCCATTGTGTTCAGAAACTATCTTCTGAACAATCTGTGTTTGCTCACGTGAATATGCCTCTGGATATCA